CACCAATTGGCCATTATAAATCAAGGATGATGTAGATTATGTAGGTTGTTATGGTGACCTAATTTGAAGAAATTTGCTTCTTGGTGCATCCAATGAAAAAAGCTGTGAATACTAAATATAATAAATTAATTCAAATGATTAATTATACAACACAAAAATAATAATGAAGACAAAAATTCAGTTTGTTTACAACATATTATTGACCTAGTTTCTAATATTAAGTTCTAACAAATGTAACAGCAATGACTGTCAAACAAGCAACTTTGCGTAGCGAAATAAAATCTGTGGTACTCACTTGAAAATATATGTAGAACCCACTATCATCATCCTTCCGACCTTTTCCTTGCTTGAAATCATAACATAACACAAACGGTTATAAGCCTACCTAACTAACTAACTTAACTAGGAAAGCAGATATGATGCCACCAGAGGGCAGTAGACAGCAGCCAGCACGAGCGGCAAGTTGTGCGGTGCGCGACACATCCCAGTTTGAGAGAAACCGTAACTCACCTTGCCAGACAAGCAACATACAAACAGTAATACGATTCCAATGAGTCCAATACAAGCCGGGGTTCACAGAAGAAATGACAGAAAATTTGATGCTTGTTTCTTCTTACAAGTACAACATGCAGTATGTGCAGCACTGATACAAATGTATATGCCACGCAGCATAAAATCACAGTGAATCATGGGAAAATTATGCAAATAACCTCCCGAAGAAGTCTACAATTACCGGTATAATAATTTTTTTTGCATGAGCATTTTTAAATAACAATGAGTGCACTGTTTATTCATTTTTAAAAAAATGTTAAATTCTATCGTACAATGTACACCTACACGATAGCCATTGTTTGTTTGCGAAGACAACATGTTGCCTGAGTATAATATCATAAAAATATAAAACTTTCCTAATCTACTCATTCAGTTTCCACCATGCAAAAAACACCTAACCAACCAAAAATACTAGGCAGAATGTAGACACCATAGCATGCCGTAGGAAGACATGCATGCAAAAGACAACTACAGCCTACAGCCTCATTTTGAATCTTGAATGAACACTGCCCTCAAGATGCAAATACGAAGATGGATTTCCATGAATGAAGAACACAATATTAATTTGATGAAAGACGACGTTTTGATGATGACAGAAAGAAATGAACGCACATTGGGGTAATGGTGTCAACAATAGGTGATTTTCTGTTCATTGCGAGATCTCGCTTAATTGCTTGCTACATTTACCATTTGTACATCATGTTGACTTTATGTATTCCCACTCTCTATATCTAACCCCTACATGATATCTAGACAGCAAAAGAGAAGTTCAATAGTCAAGTAGTTTCAGAGAAGATAGTCATCTATTGACAGAAAGTGATTGAGTCCATAGTTTTTAGAAGATTGAGCGGAAGAGGATGGATTGTAAATTCTATGGAGAGACACAGCAATAGACACAGCCTTATAAATTTTTCTTCTCACATGAAACAACAATAGTGACACAAAAAAAAGAAACATGAATCGGACAAAGAAATCCTGGAAAAAATATGCTACATAGGAAAAGAAATAATACACTACAAGTATACAACTGAGTTATAGTCTTGAAAAAACTTGATAAAAGAATAGACAGCACAGGATAAGAGGCTAAATGCCAAACACCAAAATTAGAACCATGCGTTATTTACAGACCAGGCAAGCAGGCCCAGCGATGTGCTTGATGCATTGAATTGCTTGGTACGCCTGCAATTCAACAAAAATGGGAAAACATTGCTGAACAATACACTCCTCTCTGATAACATACACCCTCTAGTGACTAAGGGGTTCTTATTTTAATACATTACATAAATTCTAGTTTGAAGTTGTAAAAAAAAAAATATTTCAAGAATAACAAATTTTGTCATGTAAAAAAAAAATGTGAGAAACTCGTTTGCTATTTGCTCACTTTTCATCAATATGAAGACTTCAATATTTGGATCAACCTTTGATA